TCCTTCTGTGTATAAGTCCTCGGGGAAAAAGGCTGCCGCCGCTGCCGCTGCATTAAATAGTTATGTACATCGCAGAGTCTGAGGCCATGGGCAGGCGGGGGTGGGAGGGGTCATTTCACCAGGGGCCGCGTTTTATCATCGTCACCACACTGGTGGGCTTTGTACTTTTTCACTTCTGCCATGTACTTGGCCCATGCATCACCTTTACTTGTTAATACCTGTGCAGGAAGGCGGTGGGAAGGGGGAGGGCAAGAGGGTTGGGAATGGGATGCCAGGGAGGCCATGAACTGGAATCAGGACTGTCCTGATACAGCTGGTCCCCAGTGTCACCCTGGTTTGAGGTCAAGATATGCAGAGTTAAGATATCTGGGGACCTTGTTTAGAGCCCTCCTCCCCCACTCAGTGCATCCATCTGAGGCTCAGACCCTGGACATGCAAGGAGAGGGCTCAACAGCCAGGAGTTGGGCCTGGAAGGAAAAAACAATGCAGGCAGCCCCCATACCCAGCCTGCTCACCTCATCCTCCGTCTTCTGCTTCTTGGCTACTATTCCCGTCTTGAGGGCTAGCTTGTTCCCGCCTCTGCGCTTGCCCACCTGGGTGAAGGGACAGAAGACTGCAACGGTTACAGGAGCCGGGGCCTGCCCTGGCGGCGCTGAGGCCCACTACACCTTCCTAGCCCGGCCCGGCGGCCCGTCCTGATGCAGCGCCCAGCTCCGCCAGCCGGCCGACCTGCGCAGCAATCAGAGAGGAGCACACGCGACTCTTAGCGCCTGCCCTGGGCCCATGATGCCCAGGCAGTCCTGGGCCCCCGGGCTGCCCTCCCAGGGAGTGAGAAAAGCACCCGCCTTGGTGGGGACAGGCTGTCTTCACTCTCCATGCCAAGGCCTCACTCTCCCCTCTAAGTGGCAAGAGCTCCTTTTATTGAGCATTTACTGTATGCCAAGCCCTGTGCCAAGTTCTTTGGACGTATCATCTTGTTTCACTTTCAGTTATCCTCAGATGGAGATCATAACTCTCCCCGTTTTAAAGTTGAGGCAAGTCTTTAAGAGGAAAGGCCCATTACCTGGATCATGCTAGCAGCAAACAGTGAAGCCAGATTCAAGATAATGTGAGTCTAAACCACAGAGCAGCATCCTTAACCACCAAGCAACACTGCCCTGCACCTAACCTGGCCTGGCCCCTTTGAGGGTGCTCCTATAATGGCCCCTCATTGAATAAATGGCAGTGACAACTGCTACTTCTATTGATGGAGGGGCACCCAGCCTCCACCTCCATTTCTCATAGTAATCCAGTCCCCTTCCCCAAACAAGTCTTACTCTGGACTCCTATCCAGTTCCCCCATCTTCTTTAACTGAAGTTTCCTGTGCCCCAGAGGCTACTTCAGGCTTTACAGGCATCAGCCCAACTCCATTCCTTCAACAAGGCATTAAATGACCTGCACTGCTAGGACTACTCTCATGCCCATTTTTACAAGATGAAGAAACTGAAGCTCAGAGAGGTCAGGTCACTTGCCCCAAATCACAGGTGATCAAGGACCTCCAATCTCAAGTCAACACTTCTGTCTCCATACCACAAGGACTTGATCCCCACACCAGAGACAAAGCTCAGAATGGACAATAACTACAGATTGCATTTATTTAGCCCAAGGTTTTTCAATTTCGGCACTACTGACATTTGGGGCCAGATCATTCTTTGTTGTGGGAATGGCCAATAGCGCCCCTACTCCTAGTTCTAACAACCAAAAAGGGCTCCAGACTGCCAAGTGCCCCCTGAGCACAGGGACAAAATAGCCCCTGGCTGAAATTCACTGACTAGCCCTTCTTTCTAGTTACAAATCAAGCCCAATCACTTTTCAGAATTACCTTACTGAACCCTTATTATATGGAAAGATTCTATGATCTCCATTTCTGCAAATAGAGATACTGAGACTAGGCCAGCCTTCACACTGCAGGAAAGCAGGGATCTGTTTTGTTGTTTCACCTTCACATGCCCAGCACCTAGCACAATGCCTAGCACAAGGTAAGGAGCTCAATAAATGGACACTGGACAAATAAGGCTCTGGGAAGTTAAGCAATTTTCTAAAGTTATGCAGTGAGCGGTCTGAGTCTCTAATCCACACAGCTCAGGCTCCAGGACTTGAATTTGTCCCTTTCCCTACGGTGGGTGATGGTCCCAGTAGCCAAAGTCTGGGTACCACTCAACAGAAATCCCGGTATCCTGGTTTCCTTATCCCTGGAGCTGTTTCCAATGCAATTCCTTGGCTCCCGGTTTCCGCGGGCACGCTCCGGGAGTCCCCTGCCCCGCTCCCAGACCTCTCTCGTCGGGTATCCAGGTTCCACTTCCTCAGGGGTTGGCCCAGAAGCCCTCGGGCCCCTCATCGGGGAAGGGCATGGACTTTTATCCCGATCTCCCTTCTCGGGCTCCGATTCTCCCTGCCAGGGCAGGCCCTGGCGCCCGCCCCCACCCCCGCGGCTCCTTACGAAGCTGAGCGTGGGGCCGGGGCCGCCCTTCCTCTTCGGATCCCCAGGGCCCGCGGCGGCGGCCGGCTGGTCGGGTCGCGGCGGGCCCGGGGGCGGCTCCTCCTGTCGCTGCCGCTGCTCCTCCTCCATCTTCCGCTTGAACAGCTCCAGGAAGCTGCCGTCGTTGGCGAACAAGTTCACGCCGCCCGACACTGGGCTCGAACCTGCCCCAGACACCTCCTCGTCTCCGCTCTCGGGCGATGTCCCAGGCCCAGACTCTGCCCATCGGCTCCCGCCGCCGCCACCACCCGCAGGGCCCGGCGTCTCCCGGCCCGAAGGCTCCGCCCGTCTCCCTCGGGCAGCCATTTTGTCGCCAGGTGCCGCGCAAAGAACTCTGGGAAGGCCACTACAGCCTCGCACTTGGCGCCCGACTTGCCTGGTCCCGGGCAATGCATGCCGGGAAGCGCGGTCTAGCGGTCGGGCGTCAACCTTAGGGGCGGGGCGAAGGAGGAGTTGGACCGAGGCGGGGCAGGGCGAGGCGAGGCTGAGCGGTGCTGAAGATAGGCGTCTGGCCCCGGGAGCTTTTATATGCCAGCTATCCTAGGGCCAGGAGCTCTGGTAGCATAGTGGCTAAGGCACTTGCCTGCTAACCAGACGGCTGGCGGTTCAAACCCACCAGCCACTCCTCGGAAGGAAGGTTGGGCAATCCTACTTCCGTAGTGATACTGCCTCGGAAACCCAAGGAGGGCTCGCTATGAGTCGGGGCCGACTCGACGGCACATAACAACAACAACAACAACATCCTAGGGCCGGCATTATGCATACGTGGGGAAATGGGACCACTGTCTAGGACATTGGTACCGCAGCTGGCTCCAGAATAGAGTCCGCATTGGGACTGGGAGCGAATTAGCTTTCCAAGGCTAGAATTCTAGTCTAGCACTAGGGAGAATCTGTGGGAGGTGTCGAACCTGTCTGTGTGCTGAAATGAGTCCTTGGAACTTTGATCCCTAAACAAGGCCCCACACACACTAGAAACAGGGATATCTCTGTCCGGGTACTTGTCTCCGAGATGGAGCTGTCATCTGAAATGGGAACACAACTGGCTCCGTGGGGCTGGGGTCACCATCTGAGACTCGGGCTGGAGTACTCAAATTAATGGGGACATTTCTAGGCTTCAGTCCCCATGAGGCGCCCTGGTGGCGCAATGGTTAAGTGCTGGGCTGCTAACTAAAAGGTCAGCGGTTCAAACCCACTAGCCACTCTGCAGGAGTAGAAAGATGTGGCAGTCTTACTTTGTAAAGATTGTTGTTGTTATGTGCCATCGAGTCAGACCCAACTCAGCGACCCCTTCCAAGGAGTGGCTGGTGGATTTGAACTGCCAGCCTTCTGGTTAGCAGTCAAGTGCCTTAGGTACTAGGCTATCAGGGTTCCTTGGAAACCCTATGGGACAGTTCTACTCTGTCCTATAGTATAGGGTCGCTATTAGTCAGAATCAACTCGACCGCAATTTTTTTGTTTTGTTTTGGTTTTGGTTTTTGAGTCCCCGTGTAAGGATAAGAGTGTTTCTGGACTGGGTTCTCCGCCAAGGGTCTGGGCTACAGCGTGCATTGTAGTTTGGCCCAGAGCAAAGATTCAAACAAGGTATTCCCAGGAGTCTCCCCCTTGAACAGAAGGCAAAGTACCAGGAGGTTTTTGTAGATAGAGTCTCTTCTGGGACAAGGACTTGAGTTATGAGTGTGGTCTCTGCCCAGTCCAGCATGGGCTCTCAGGGTGCACGGGCCAAGGGTCTGCAGACCTTGCCCACAACTGCAGTTATTTTCCCTCTAACCTTCCCGCAGCCGTGGGAACTATTTCCAGCTAACTAATCAATACTTCCAGAAGGATGGCGAGTCAAACTCATTAGCCACTCCTCGGAAGATTGGGCAATCTACTTCCGTAGTGGTTTCTCCTCAGAAACCCAAGGAGGGGTCGCTATGAGTCGGATCCGACTCCACGGCAGTGAGTTTGGTTTAATCAACACGTCTATGATTGGTTTGTGGCAGGAGCCAGGTGGCTTACTGTCAATTACCGAGAAGGCGGACCTGAGGAGATGTGGAGAAATGATCGACAGGAAGTTGAGCCTGTCGAAGTCTGGCCAGGGCGGACCTCAGCTCTAACTTCCCGAGAGGGCATGGACCGAGTGTTTGGCCGGTTGCTAAGGAAAGATTGGCGGTACCGGAACATGAGAGTGATTGGTGAAAGTAAGAAAAGAGATAGCCAATGAAAGGAATGCTGGAAGACTCTGTGTCCAATCAGAGAAGGGGAGTAGCCTGGGACGTCTCAGTATGTTAATTAGTCAGGGGGAGTCTTTAGAAAACTATAGACATGAAGTTGACCACGTGGGCCCTGGAAGCAGAGAATATTGGAATTATAATTTCTATTAGCGCCTAAGAGCCGAGCGACGAGGAAATTATTTTAAGTGTTCAGTTTCGATGGGGATGTGATAGGGAATATCTCCCGTAGGTGCTTTGCATGGTGCGTTCCGCTTGTTCACGTGAGCCGGTTCCAAGATGGCGGCGGGGGTGGCTGGGTGGGGGGTTGAGGCGGAGGAGTTCGAGGATGCGCCTGATGTGGAACCGCTGGAGCCCACGCTTAGCAACATCATCGAGCAGCGCAGCCTTAAGTGGATCTTCGTCGGGGGCAAGGGTGGCGTGGGCAAGACAACCTGCAGGTAAGGAGTCTGCGGTGAGGGGCCGGGAAGACGGGTGGGATGTACCACTGGGGTGGGGGGGAGTCCAGAGACTGGCTTTTCCACCTAGAGCCGGGCAAAGCGGCTGCGCCGGGGTCGAGGTCTTCCAGGTTTTACTCTCCGGAAGTTACCTGAATGCCTGACCTCGTACCCTGAATTGGACCATCCCCTTTGAGGCTCAAGGGCCCAAACCACAGTGAGCCCAGAGCACGAGGGGGGTGGGCAGGAAAAGGTACATTTAGATGGGTGGTACCGGAGTGAGCTCAGAGTAAGGGGCAGCGGCACTAAGGCAGATGATCTTAGGCGAACCTTGCCATTCTATACCCACTAGGGAAGCTCGACGGTGTGGAGAGCATGGCAGAGGGCACATGGTCAGGCTATCCCAGACGGCTGGACTAAACCAAAACTCATTTTTTGGGGGGTATGCAAGTTATTCTGGACAAGTGGATTGAACCATCCTGAACTTGGTTACTAAGGAACCCCTTAGCTTCGGGTTGAGAGAGGGAACACAAGATCAGGCTATGCTGGCACCAGGTCAGACGAGCTCAGTCTGCTGAAGTTTACCATTATACCCAGCTCGCACTGCCATTGAGTCGATTCCGACTCATAGCAACCCCCGTTGAGTTTCTGAGGCAGTAAATCTTACAGAAGTAGATTACCCCATCTTCCTTCCGCAGAGTGACTGGTGGCTTTGAACTGCCAGTCTTCTGGTTAGCAGTCAAATGCCTTAGGCAGTGCCCCATCAGAGTTCTTTATACCCAGCTAGAGGGGTGAATAGGTGAGGTCTGAGCAGGTCTCCCTGCAGTATGGGATTGAGGCTTGATCCCATGTTTAGCCATACTCTCTTCTCAAGGGTCCTGCTAATGCTGGTTGCCCTCTCCTAGAGCCCCACATCCACCCTTGCAAACCTGGGACAGGGGAGTCCCACCCCCTTACTCCCTGCCTTTTGGCCTTTTCCTTGCCTAGCTGCAGCCTGGCAGTCCAGCTATCCAAGGGACGGGAGAGTGTTCTGATCATTTCCACAGACCCAGCCCACAACATCTCGGATGCTTTTGACCAGAAGTTCTCCAAGGTTCCTACCAAGGTCAAAGGCTATGACAACCTCTTCGCTATGGTGAGTGGAGCAGGGCTCAGCTCCCCACTTCTGGGCAAGGCCCCTCCAGCTTCGTCCTGTGAATACCCAACATCAGCTACCGTGTCCTGTCCATCCTAGAGCCTATGTCTTTCCTGATTCTACCTCTTCCTCAACACACTAACAGGGAGCGAGTAAGGTAAATCTGAGGAGCAGAAAAGAGGTGAGAGTGGCAAGAGCTTAGTGAGCAAGGGAAAAGGAAGGAGAAGAAATTAGAGAGGCCAGATAGTATAGGACTTTGCAGGTCATGGTGAGTAGTTTTGCTTTGATTCTAAATTTAATATAAAGTCATTCGGTTTTTTTTTGTTTTTTTGTTTTTTTTTTGGGTGAAGACTTACAGAGTAAATTCACTTTTCATACAGCAGTTCACATAATATACTTTGTCTCATGTCATTGACCAAAATTTACAATGCAACAGCTCCCCTCCCACTT